ACTTCGGGATGCAGCATTTCAAATAGTCCATTACTAAATGTCGTTTCATTTATCGTATAAGCTGCACTTAAGATTTCGCTTACAGACAGTATAAATGATATTGGATAAAAAATCTTATTTGAACGCGCAGGTTTTCGATCTTCATTGGAAGTGTTACTAGGATGAGTTATCACCGGAGAAAACCACGCGGAAAACAATTTTAGGAAAAATCATCAGAACAAACTACCAAAGAAATCAAAACGAATCAATGACTCGAGGCAATCTGATGCACGGCTGCTTACCGCCCCATGTCATTGGCCTGAATCCTGAGAAAAGAAAGCTTTTCTAGAAGTGATACGAGTACTGAAATTTACCATGGACATTGGTGCTGCGGAGATCAACTATTTCTTTTACGAAGGCTATTTTTGTTTATCAAAATATCGCCAAGAGTATATCAATACAGAAACGGTAGCAGAAAGCAAAAAGCGGCAGATTCTATTGAAATCTGGTTTGAACTCTTTCAGGCTCTGTGATTATGTACGTCAATGTATGTTATCCCTTCATTTGTACTGACTACCAAATCGCACTATATTTGCTTCCAAGCATTTTCAACGGCTCTACCCTACTCATCACCAAAACAACAGTTAATATCATTCGCCCTATACTAAAAGGTACCCGAGGTCTGAGGGATTGCGCCCACTTCCATCCAGAATCGTAGTGGCGTATTGAATGCGTATTTGTCCTACACAATAACTTACGGTGGCCAGCCAATGTTCAAGTCAGTGCTTCTTTCCTCCCAGAAGAGCCTGGTACCAACCAACCAACCAACCAACCACGGAAGAATGGAAGGCTAGGTTTCTCAAGGCAAATACCGGTCCGGGGGTCAAACCCGTCGCCATGTGNCTATGAATGCGCCACTTGCCGCGACACCACCTTGCCATGTCCTCTAGGCGTCGGCCTGTACGCAACTGCAAGAGCTCAGATCTCGTTCAAGTAGCCCTTACTGTTTCCGTCATAGTAATCTCGTACAACCTACACTTGCACTTCAAGATGCTTGATTTCCACGAAGCCTGTGAATTCTCATTTTTCATCGCTACCGATGCGCTATTCTTTTACAAATTTTCCGCTTTTCAACCCAAAACGGATTCATCCAATTTATCGCTAACTATTCCTTTCATCGATCGAAGATCTGAAAAAGCAGTCAATCAGCTCTTCAGGAACAATGGACAAGCAATGATTCTGGTATTTAGCCTTATGGTGTGTCATGCTTTCTACGTCATTAGTGCGATTTTTCTGATAAGGGACGACTTGCCAACCGAATTCCTATCAAGTCACCGCACGAGTCTGACGAGAACTGGAAACTCCACTTGTTAATTTCTACGAATCCATCCGTCCTATTTCTGCTACAGTACTGTCAAAATTCCCGATATGTTCTGTTATTCGCTTGTATTTATATGGTGTATTTTCCTTTTTTATCGGTTGCTCTAAAAATCAATCAATCATTTATTCATCACAACGTCATTTTAAGTGCATCATTACACTTGAGTCGGAAAATTTATGACTGNAAACTCCACTTGTTAATTTCTACGAATCCATCCGTCCTATTTCTGCTACAGAACTGTCAAAATTTTTCCGATATGTTCCGTTATTCGCGTATGTTTATTTTTTGTATTTTCTTTTTTTTACCGGTTGCTCTAAGAATCAATCAATCATTTATTCATCACAACGTCATTTTAAGTGCATCATTACACTTGAGTCGGAAAATTTATGACTGTAATAACTTAGCCGCAATGTAAAATAAAAATGAAGATGCCAACGCACCATATCCCTCTTACAATTAGGCATGCCCATTAAACGTTCTTTGGATTAGGAAGATACGAACGATAGGCTAGTTTTCCACTGATTCATGGGTTAAGTGGACCGCAAGGAGTAGTATGGTTTTTTCGTGACCCGCTAGAGTTCACACATGAAGATTTCGTGGCAGATCCTATTCAAATTTTGTTTTTTTTTTCATTTTCGTTTGTTTATTTATTCTTTACTGTGTCATTTTGTCTTTCTTCGCGCTTCTCACTTCTTTATTGTTTTGTTCGCTGTTTTATTGGAAACATAATAGTACAGTGGGCAGTAGAAATTCGTAATGAGTTACATCAAAATGTGGAATCGTGTAGGACGTGGTCTAGAGGCACGTGGCGCATAATAATGTACGTGTGGAACGGGGATCAAATTTCAGATAGACACCCGCTTAGGTCATAAGCCTTCCATGTCTCCAAAGGCAGTCAATTCGTACAAGACCCCGGGAGGATGAAAATGCTGACTTGAACGTCATGAGCTGCCATAGCAATCCATTGCATAGGCAAAATACGCATTCAAAACGAAACACGTTTCCGAATGGGAGGCGAACGCGGGGCGCATCGCAGAAAAGGAACTGACCAATGCCAAAGAGTTTACTTAAACATTCGTCATTTTTTCGAAGCTGATCTTCTCTTGCCGTTGGATGTTTGTGGATGAAGTACTCTCCCAGAACACCTCGCTGATTTCGAAAGGAGGTCGAGTCATGACGCATCATGGTTAGAATTTTATCTACCCGCTCATGTATTGTGATGATATCCTCCTCTCAAAGGGAAGGCGTTTTATTTGATGCATGCCAATCCAATTCGTTTTTTATCTTCAAGAACAACGTGTGAAAAACTGATGCCTAACCACTCAGACCTGATACCCAGCTGTAATGAAAAGTTCGACTATGAAGTTAGCTTTCAATGCAACCCAGGTACTTCATTTATTTCTGAGGTAGTCTAATGCGGAATACTGTAAATGATCCCTGCACTTCCCAAGGGACAGTTCTCCTGAACAGGATGACTAGTTGGGGAGGCTTAAATCCTTCTTTGGAGGCCCAGACCACTCTGTCTTGGCTAAGAACACTGATTTGCAGTCGTAGTCACGGTGTTCAGCGGTGTCGAAAACACTGGCTTTCAACATAATTCTTCTCCTGCTTGCTCATGAATTGGGATTCAAATACAGGGGAGATTTCGCTTGCAGCTGTATCCTTTATCGAGATAAAACCATGTAAACATATCTTTCGAACGACGAGTTGAACTCGCTGTTTTCACTGTTCTCTGAACGATCAAGACATCTTACGAAGTTAGTTACACAGTTGAAAATGGGAAAAATAATTCTAAAAAGATTGCGCCGTCTATTCAAAACAGTTAGATTTTCTGTGGCTCCAGTTCTAGGAATGTTCTTATAAGGTTTGCTACCGAATTTTTCAGCTCGTAAGCTTGATGGTTCAACCATCATAGCGATTTCATCGTTGAAAGAATCACCTTAAAACAGGAAGATATCACCAATTATTATTCCCTCCGAAAGAACAGAGATCATTCTTGGATTGTTACTCAGATAGATATTTGTTTCAAGGTCTCGTTGATAAAGCTTGTCTCTTTCGAACTTCTTTCTTTCAATATCATTCCCAAATGTTTTATAAATTAATGTATTTCTTGAACTTTACATATTTATTGCACGCAAAAAAATGCAAAAATAATTCGGCTGCAGTTGTAGCTCTGACTATGACCCGTGAGAGTTAGCCTTAGGTTCCTGCTTTGACAGATATTAATATTACATATGCAGTTGGTGGCTCACCGCACGGCTACTCCTGAAATCCACCTGAAGCTCATTTTTCCACGTCAGCCTTGCTTTATTTCCTTTGGACCAACTTAGAGATAGTGCGCTACATGACCAATAGAGCTAAAGTCAATAGATATTTGCGATCTTTTTTGGAAGATACTTTCTAGGCTACTCATGCAGCTTAAGTTATCCTCAGTCCGAAATCGAACCCTTGAGAGTATCGGAAGCTATAGAGGTAGAGCTATTCTGGAGCCACTTTGAATGCTCTACTGACTAAAAAATTGAATTTTTTGTGTGGTTGAGGACTCCTACTGAGACTATATACATACCGTCTCGAGTGACCTTCATGATAGAGATTATTTGTTATAAATGACTAAGTTTGGTCTTTTCAACATCCTCGTCGGTGGAAAACTAAATGATCAAAGCTCTTTCTATGTATATTTCTGTTTTGCCGATAAACACCAGCGTTTTTTCTTCGTCGATAGCCTCAATTGAGATTGCGCGAGAAAACGAACGGCCAGTTTTTTCATTCGATAGCGATGGCTAATCATTCGCTCGCTAAGAAGCAACATTCTCATTGTATGTTTGTGCATTCGTAGTATCGTTGTCGATGGTTTCAAGAAAAGTACAGTGCCATTCAATGGCTCTGTATTCATACGAAAGTACAAATATACATAACAATAAAGCTTTGTGTTTTTGTATCTCCAACACAAGTGAACGTTGGGGTCGAGCTCCTTCTGCATCTTGAGCTCATTTTCTCAGTTGTTCCCGGAACACAGTGTTCCAAAAATCTCAGCGGGACTGAAGAACCCAGGCCTTTTAGGCATCTTTTTTAGATAGGGCAGGAGCAACTTACCCGAAAGTAGTGCATGGCATAGGCAGTCAGTTCCTTTAGCATTCTCACGACCACTTGGTTCCTCTATGCCTTGATGTTCATATCCACCAGGTTGGATCGTCAGCTCCTTACGCTTATCATTTTTAACAGATGGTTTCGTAGACATTCTTATAGTTACCACCATTAATTCTCTATTGTGGCCAATACATCACCCCTTTTCATCTGTCTTACTGATAAACAGTAGAAGAAACCCATTTGCAACGAATCGCCATGGAGAACTGAGGCGGCACCAGTCGGAGTTTTCCACTGCCATCTAGGCCTTAGCTCTTGACTGCACCAACGCCATATCGCCTCGCTCCCTCCGGCCGTTGCCGGTGATTTGGCTTTTGTCGCGCACTGCTCAATTGCATTATTGCCTGCCGCCTCGGGACCACTCTGTCGCCACTGCGTGGAACAGCACATCTCAGACGGCGGCCCTCGAAGACCCTGGCATTTTTTCCTGGTCATGATGTCTCGCATCCCCGCCATGAAGTACTCGTTCATCGCGGTTCCATACGTCACTACTCCCTCAGCAGCATATGAGATCGCCTCGAGCTCCTCTAACACTTCCAAACACATACACACTCTCTTCACACGCTTTCCTGTCAGCGAGTCCACATACACACACGCATACACATAGCCAGCCAGCCATCCAGCCAGCCGGCGAGCCCTCCTCCCTTTCCTCAGTCGCCATCGTTGCCATCGATTTTTCCACAGCTCGGCACTCTCCCAGTCTGTCGTCGACGTCCACTCTCATCTCTCCTGACGTGTCTTTTTTCAGTTCTCACTCATCTCTTCTCATGTCGGAAGAGTGAGTTCCTTTAATCTCCTACAATAGATCTTGCGAGTGCCAGAGCATTCCTTGGGATTATCCTACCACCATCGCGCCTCGCTTCAAGACCCAACGACTTTCGGGTGGTAGCACCCCGACTGCCCGGTAGCCCTCTGCTCGCGGAGAGACTGTCAGCAAGACCTCTGTCACTCAGGTGGCCTGTCAACAACGGCTGCAGCAATCTCTCTCCTGATCCCTCGAATTGTCGGAGTTGTCCTATATGCTGTTTTTCCTCCCATTTGCTCGTCGAGTACGGGAATCCTTCGGAGGTAGCTTACCAGAGTATCCTTTTTCTAGAGAATTGTGAGGTAACTTCACGAGAATCCATTGCTGATCGGGTGGGTGCCTGGGCGCGTAATCGGATACAGGCGCTACTTGTACTTCATGGAATAAACGCGATTATGCGTTGTCGAACACCTCTTTTCGTCAACGAACCTCAGTGTTGCCATCATATCATCCGTCTCTTCACGAAACTTTATGGTCCCTGAGACGACGAGAATGGGGAAATTATGGGTGTGCTGTTTGCGTTCATAACGTCTCACTCGCTACATGCACACCCACTAATTTATCTCGCTCATTCTAACATGTCTCGAGCTTCTCCCGTTTCCCGTAATGGGAGGTGTAGGCGAACACATTGAGGCGTTAACTGAGACGACATTGACGGCTATGGAGCCCCGGCTCAATTGGCCAAAGACTACGCTAGAGATTAGGTCGTCCATTGTGGAACCATTGTAACAGATCAACGCGTAGTGATTCCGCTGTCTTACAACGGACGTCCAAACTTCGCATCAGCAAGCACCTTTGCGACGGGGAGGCATGTTTTGTCCACTCCGTACGCACGCTCGTAGTTTTGGCGACAATACTGTCGACCTTTACTTTTCTTCTCGTTCTTAAGCACCACTTTTCAAGCTTCTGAGTATTATGTAGTGCTTTTTCGTTTTTACATCCTTCCTGAGGCTGCAGGTGTGATCAGCTAATTTCTGCAACTCAGGCTACGTTTTCATATGATCAGTCATGATTCACGGCTTATCCATACAGCGTTCCTTACTCAACCTTACCTTACCTTACCTTACTGCATTCCTTTGTATAGTGTTTGAACCCAGCACGCAGTTACGTCCAGATTTTCAACTATTGATTTCTGATTGTTATTACAATTTTGGTGCTGTTTACTACAAAACCAGTTATCACGTCACTTTTTGTGATTTCATGTGTTTTTCTTTGCTCTGGGATTCGATATTTGCCGTAGAATGCTGACAAAAAGGACAACTATCACGAAGTCATCATCTACAATCCTCTTGGGCTTGAAAAGATAGCGGAAGAATGTCTATTCGGGTGCCGTTCAAGCTGACCACTGACTCTAATGTAGGGCAACAACAAGATCACTCTCAACACGGCCGCTATTCCTTTATGCTAGGCCGTCAGATTGGGAAACCTTGTCGATACCCTTGTGATTTGATTAAAACTCCGCCGACAGTGCTCTGTGGATGTCATAACCCTCAAATGGTAACGTACCCAAACCAACTTGAGAAGTTCTCTATATTCGTTGTCTAGGAAGCTCTCGCCCCTTAGACAGACAATGCACTTATCTGTGCGGCACGAGCTGTGAAGGTACCATAAGGGTCTCTCTCGTCTACTAGGATGCGCCCTTGATTGGTGGGGAAGACTTACTTCTGTCACAGAAATTTGGTTAAAGTGGCATTTTCTTGAAAGCGACCATTGAAATGTCCCAACTTCTAGAGCTGAGCCCACAATATTCCACCTCGTAACTCTATCCGGCCGCATACCAACATGCCTCAGACGGAAGCGTGGGAGCGGTCAGCCGTCTGTCACTTCCCCTGAGTGGGTGTGTGTTGAATAAAGCCATTAGAGAAAAATGAGGGATGGAGCGGACGAGTTTCCGCTGTCCGGCATTGATTTCCACGGTCATGTGCCTAGCTACATATAGCCGTTGCCGGCGCTGCCGAAGCCGCTGCAGCATCGGTTGAGTGAGGGGATGCCGACGACATACGTGGGGCTGACTGACAGAGACTTGCTGGTAGCAACTTTTTAGGCGTTGAACTGACGTACAGTAGACTATACGGTACCGTGGCTACCGTATTTGACTGTAGTAAACTGTGCTTGTTTTGAGCGAACATTAAAATAATATCATTCAATGGGTATTCCTAGTCGTTTCTGGAAAAGCTAATATTCATGTCTCTAGGACCTCGTAAGCCAAAGCTTTCGCCAAAGTCTTTTCAGTATTTTTTGTTAGCACACGCTGATTGCTATGTCATCAAAGGAATTTGCTTGGGAAGGAAGGAAAAAACCTTTTCGCAGTTGCTTTTGTCAAAACCTGATTTATATTATCAAGGGTTTTTGAACAGAAAAGAGTAATTGCTGCTTGAATACATGAGGTTCTGATAGGTCAAGGTTTTTGTCACCCACATGGGCGATCTCGCAGTATTTGGGATGGATCCAATTCTCAACCAGCTTGTCATTTTCCGACATTTTCATGAAAATCCACACTGAGGCCTTTTTTTCAGCTATGCCTACCCAAAATGGAATGGACGTGATCCTTGTTTGTACCACTGCCTCATTTGGATACCGTTTTGATGGCGACCATGAATACGTCGTCCCAAACTGAGAAACTCTAGGGGTGCTGGCTGGCTGGCTGGCAACGTTGGTCCCGTTCGCCATCTCTTCGATGATGGCTCACGCTCAGGCGAGATAAAAGTGAAGCGGGGGTGTAATTTTAGATGCTTAGAGCGTCGCCAGGCATCGCAATTGATTAGGAGCCCGAGAAAAGGAGGGACTACGAGACTACAGCAACGACCACGAAGAGGAAGCGTTGGAAGCACCGCCTAAGAAGTCGTGAGGGCCTCGTTTAGCCGTCTCTTGTAGAGGCTGTCCACGCATGCAGTCTACTGCACAGTAATAGGCTCGTTCCCATGAGGGAAAGAATAAATCGGCTGCCTTTCAAATGGTCTTCTAGAGCTAGCACTGAACGAGGACTTACCATTTTTCTGTAGCGACATTGGTTTGGAAAATTTTTTGTCTGGGTGATACTTTTATGCTCTTAACAGAGTATCGCACATATCAGAATAAGCTTTTCCAGCGATCCTTACCACTTGGTATCTGCCACACTTAACCCTAGTTCGGGGGAAAGTGTCATACCTCTTGTTCTTCCCCGAATTCGTTATCGGCTTTTCATTTCAGACATTGAGAAGCCCCCACCAACACAGAACTGAGCGCAGTGTTGTTGTCATCCTTGAATTAGAAAACCGAAACCCTGGCTTCCCAAGTCATCTCAGAACCTCTAGAATGGCGTAGTCGACTTTTCATTGGAACCATAAACTCCTTTGAGTCCAAGCTATGTGAATGCGGCCTTCAGCAACCATTTGCTCAGCAGCGACGTGCCCACAAACGCTCTTTCAAGAAGTGCATTTGGAGGCTATCATCTGAGGAGAAGAATCATGGCTTTTTACGGGCGGGGTGGGTCCTGTATTGAGGATATCACCACAAAACTGATTATACTTGGTCGTTTGGAAAACGTCTTCACATCGGAACACTCGTGCTGTTTTAAAATTTTGTCGAACTTCAAACTTTTGCCTTCATGTTATTGTATATTTTATTTATCCCCTTACTCGCAGCCTCCTTCCCCTCGGGCACATCTAATGCTTATATCTTCTTCGAATCGTTGACAGGCTTCGTTAGCGCGCTCACGTCCGAGAATCGATCTTGGGGGGCCCGTATAATCGCGAGCTCCCATAGGTATCCGTTGCACAATACTGCCCATTATTTTTTACCAATTTGGCCAAGCTTCACCTCTGTAGAAAATGAACTGAACAACTTAGAACAGACATAATCCTTGGTTTCAGAAAAATTAAAATCTATTAAAATAGTGTTAAACTTATAAATATACTTAAATAGAAAAAATGGCATCAAATTTCTGGATTTGTCTGTTTCTCTCGACCTTTTTTAGAATTCCGACACATGGCTATGAAGATTATTTCGCATTTTCTCCCAGATGTGACACTTCTCGGACAGATTTCGGTCCGGGATTCTCACAAATCGATAGGGTTCATATGAAAGCATTAGGTAACTATGAAAGCCGTGTATATGTCATAAAAAAAGTAATTTTAATGCGCCCGAATTTGACTACAACTCAAATTTATGGAAATATTTGATTGTGTTTCGATTGCTTGAATGGCCTGATAGGTTCTGCCAACGCTCTAAGCACGCTTAAACTTGGGGATGCCTTCAATGAACTGCGGTGGCTAGCCGATGTGCAGTCAGTGCAATCGTTCTCATAGACAAGCTTTGTGATAAATGACTGTTCCTGAAGTGAAGCTGACTTGTTCTAGACAGATTTCGGTCCGGGATTTGATCCCATAACCATGCGCGTTAGGTGATTCACCTGGCAAAACGCTACCTCTTTCCTTTTGTATTCATTTAGTGGAATTGAGTAGAAAGCAACTGTTTCCGATGGAGAAGAGGTCAGACTGGTTTGAGTGGAGTACTGAGCTTCTCAATTCACTGCTCTACTCCTAGAATTGGGATGTGGTAGTGCCAGCGGCGTGACTTGCAGTTGCTCTGTCTAGCAATCGAAGTCCAGGCGGAATGCAGGTTAGCTCATCTGGGTTTAGACAACAAACGCCGACTTGAGCATTGTTTCCTAAACCATCTGAAGGTATTCATCGAATGCTCATCGAATGTCTCTCCAGCAACTGGTAATGAATCCGGTTCCAAAGCTTATCCCGATGGGGCGATGAACGCCGAATTTTTGGGCCTCCCATTTTTTCTTCAGTGACTCACAGGTGTTATGTTTTACCAGACATCCTGTCAGTTTTTTGGGTTACGAGTGTCTGCTGCTGTTGTCTGTAACCTGCTAGCACATCCCGATTAATCAGCCGGGAGGAGTCCAGGTGATTCTCCAGTGGACTCAT